CATAGCCTTTGGGATTCTAATTATTAGACTCCCTCGATGGCATGTATATACATATAGGTCTAAGTACGCGCTAGCAGACCTCATGGGCCTTGAAGAGCCCGACTTTAATTTCTCATAACGCATCATCGAATGCCAAGCTAAGTTGCGGAGGTGATCCGCCAACCTCGCTGGCTCAATTACCATGTGTCACATAGCACACGTCAGTCAGCCCAATCTATCGAAGTGTCTTTCGATACTTTTGTAAAAGCATTTCAAGATCATCTAATCGCCGAAGTGAAGATCATATTAAGTGACGGAAAATACGTCCATGGTCATTTATAAGCCGCCTAATTGATATGTTCTTTTTAGAGAGTCTCAAGAAGAAAAAAAGAGAAGAAAGGAGTTTTGAACTCTTAGTGATTCCCTCCCTCTGAGGATAGGAATTCCGCTATTCTCCTCCTCGTTCCTCTTGCGCAAGTTTACCTCCAGATTGTACAACCTCACGAACAATATATATAAATACGTATATATGTATATTGATTACATTTAGAACTATAAATAATTACTCCCTAATAAAATATTTTTCAATGCAGGCAGAGCTTGGTTAGAAAAAACACCAAATGGCCCCCTATTGGAAGATTTAATGGCATATAATCTTTACAATTTCTTTTTATAATGACCTTAAAATAAATAATAAGCTTGAATTTTATTTAATACAAAATATTCCGATATGACATATATAGATATAATGTAGATTATATCAATTACATTTATATCCATATTTTTATATTTATATGAATTTTATAAAAATATATGAGTAGAGCATATTCCATAATTTTTATATAACTTTCAAAGAATTTATGTTAATCAACAGCTTGCGCTAGACTTGATAAATTAGTATTTCCAATGAAAAGAAGAAGAAATATTTACATTCATACCACTGAATTTCTATTTCTTTACAAATCTAACACCTAAAGTTCAGTTTTTATATACACGCCACCTTACGTCTGCAAGTCTATCTCACTTTTAGAAGGTTAAGGCCGGTCTTGTTCTTGTAATATGAAAAATTTAGATAGTATAAATGTAAAAGGAGACAAATACATACAAAAGGGTGCTCTATTTACAAATCAAACACCCTCCATTCATTTTGATATTCATGATAAAACCCCCAAAAATATTTTCTTCATTTTTAATAAATTTTCAATGATTTGATCGTGGCACATGCATAAATGCATCGATTCGATGTTCAAAAAAAAAAAAAAAAAATGACTAATT